TAGAATAGTAATATAAATTGTAAAAGAGGTGGTTTTATAGAATTAAACAATAAAGTAAATAAAATAAACTTGCGTAATTGTTATAGATTTTTTTATTGCTTTATAAGCAAAAAAAATAATGGCTGAACTGAACCTGAAAAAATAAAAAATAATAAAAAAAAAACTTATCTGAAAAGTAATAACAAAACCGCAGCAGTCCGAACCTGAAAATAATCTATAAAAAATAAATAAAAAACTTACCTGAAAAGTAATAATGAAACCACAAAAATCGTAGCAGTCTAAACCCAAATTCTAAAAATAAGAAAAAAAGAAATAATTTACCTGAAAAGTAAAGTAATAAGAAAACTGCAAAATCGCACCTGAAAAGTAAAGTAATAAGAAAACTGCAAAAAATCGCACCTGAAAATAATCTAAATAAAAAATAAAAAATAAAAAAAAAATGAAAAACTTACCCGAAAGGTATCCGAATTCTAAAAAAAAAATATAAAGTAAAATAATAATGAAATCGCAAAAATCCGAATCTGAATTCTAAAAAATAAAAAGAAATAACTTACTCAAAAAGTAATAACTTACCCAAAAAGTAATAAAGAAACCGCAAAAATTGCAGCGGTCTGAACCTGAAAATACAAATTCGCCGTTAAATTCGCCACAAAATTGCAGCGGTCTGAACTCGAAAATTAATTTATATTGTAATTGGCTAAATCTCTTTCCAAATTAAATAAGTTTAATTGTTAAATACAAATTTTTTAATTTTTTTTGAAAAAAACATCACCAGTTTCTAACATGGAGATTTCATTAGAAAAAAGATAAATATATTTATCCATTTTTAAATAATATGAAATTAAGTTATAATTTGAAAAAAAATAAAACAAATGAAAAATGAAAAAAACTTACTGCTGTGATCTGAACTAAATCGATAATGAAATATAAACTACCAACCAATTTCATTAACAGAATCACAGAAATCTTATCAATCAAAATGATAGATAATCATGTGCATCAACATTTTAATATGATTTTAACTTAATTTGGGACAATTTTGGTTAGAATTATTTTGTTGACATATTATCAGCATAAAAATACTTAATTCAGCATATTGTTTAATTTTCTAATAAAAAGAGAACGATAAGCATTAAAAAAAAGTCAAAAAAAAAATTTTTGTTAATTTTACTTATTAAAAAAATTTTATTTTTTATTATTAAATAATTGAATAAAAATGTTATCATTTAGGATTAAAGCATCTATCTGTCTTAAATTTTTAATTCATTCAATTTTTCGTTCAGAATGGTTTTTTATTATAAACATAATGTACTTCACTTCTAGATTGTACTTAAAGGAAAAATCATAGTGAATTGAATCCAAATAAAAAAAAAATAAAAAAAAAAATAAAACAAAAAAATCAAAAATCAAAAATCAAAATAAAAAATGATTGTAAATCGTAATAGTCAGAACTGAATCTAAAATTGATCAAATAAATTATGAATTTAATTAGCCACATGCTAAACTTATAAATAATGATAAATTATAAATTGGTAAGATTGGCGAAAAAATTTTCGTTTTAATTTTTTTTTAAAAAAAATGTCTAATGAAAGTTCTCAATTTGCAGAATTGTCAGAGCAACCTCAAACTCCTATTTCAATAAAACATCCAGGAGGTCGTCCATTAAGTGCTGTTTGGGAGAATTTTGAGAAGCAAGCTCTTTCCTCAGCAGGACATTTCTCTGCAAAATGTAAATTTTGTTTGAAATTTCTTCCACAAGGAAGACCAAATAAGTTGCAAGTTCATTTGGCTAAGAATTGTAATAAATGTCCTGATGATATTCGTTTAAAATATACAAATATAATTATTGAAGATGAAAATGATGTATCAAGTAAAAAACGGAATTTTCAAACTGTTTTAAATGATCATTGGGATAATGATGCTGAAATTCCTATTTCTAAAATAAAAGTAATTGATCGAGCTTGGTTAAAAGCTTTTGTTGCTTGTGGATTACCATTTTCTGCTATTGAAAATCCATTTTTTATCGATGCAATCAAATCATTAAGAGCTAGTTATAATCCACCAACACGAGGACGTCTTTCTGGAACTCTTTTGGATCATGAAGTTATATCAATTAATTCAAAGGTTAACAATATTTTGTTAAAAAGTAATAATCTTACACTAGGTAAATTTTAATTTATATTTTTAAATTATTTTTATAAGTTTTTTATATAATTATTTTTAACAATATTAGGACTAGATGGTTGGTCCAACCCAAATGG